CTTGAAGCGGGTGTCCTATAGACATCTTAAAACACATGTTAAAAATGGAACTCGTTATCTTTTCCCCAAACCCTCTCCCTCTCCAAACTTCTTGTTACTGTCGAGGACACCACTATCCTCCCAGGCCCACAGGCTTGAAACCTTGGTGTTGTCTTCGACTCCTCACTATCTCACCTCCCATCATACCCTACCAGTTTGACATTTGTAATATCTCTTGCATGTGTCCCTTCTCTTCTCTGACACTGCCTCCTCACCTCACACCTGGACTATTGCATTAGCCTGTCAGACTGTCTGCCTGCTACAAGTCCCTCCCCTATCCAGTCCATCTTCTATTCAGATGCCAAAGCACAGGTCCTTGCTTCCCCCCACTCAGTCAACTTTAAAATCCTGTTTGCCATTCCAAGTCCTTTATAACCTAGTTCTACCTCTCCCTCTTTTCCTAGTCTTCTTACATTGTACACCCCCCTCCTCAAGTCCTCTTTGATCCAGTGACTCTGGCTATCGTTCCTTGAACAGGCGACTCTGTCTCCTGACTCTGGGCATTTGCACTGGTTGTCCCTCTACGCCTGGGATGCCTCCTCTGCTCCAACTACTGACCTCCCTCGATTAAAACCTCATCCTCTGCGGGAAGCCCTCAAGTTCAGTGCCTTCCCTCTATTGATTATTTTCCATTTATCTCATATACAGCTTGTTTGTCTGTAGTGGTTGCGACGTGGTCTCTCCCTGACACTGGGAGCTCCTCAAGGAGAGGGACTGTCTTTTGCCTTTCTTTGCATTCTCAGTGCTTGGTACAGGGCCCGGGACGAAGTCAGGATTTAACAAATGCTTACTGTGTTGACTGACTTACATTCCCAAATCTTGGTCTCTTGACCCTCAGTCTATCACTTTGTCTCTCTCAAAACCACTAAACTTGTTTGAATTGGTACAAAGCAGTTGGACAGAAATGCTTTCAGCCAACAGGTCCTTGAATCTAATTGACCCAGTGACCTGGAATGGAAGGCTTCATCAGACTGCCTCTTCCTTGAATGATGGGATTTGGACTCCGCCATAGCAACAATTCATTATTTTTCATATTAGACTCCACATCTACAGCCTAGCTTTGGCATTTTAATTTGCTTATAGGAAAACTCTGATTTTCATCCCTTTCAACAGTGTGTTCCCAGCTGTGGAATGATAATTTAATGTTTACACTGTCATCAAACAGGAAACACAAATGTTGGCATTTGGCAGTCATGTTTGTCTTCTCAGAGTTGCTACAAGCAAACATGAAGTGTGCGTCGAAGTAAATGGGATAATTAGTGAAAATGCCAGTGCGGAGAGTTCCCCTTGCACGCCCACGGAAGCAGCACTCACCTTCCTGCAGCTGAGCAAAGGAAAGCTTGCCTGTTTTACTTATTCTCTGCTAACATCAGATGTCACATATTGCCGTGAAGCACGGATCTGACTGCATGACTCCCTTAGTCAATCAGCTCCACTGGCTCCCAGCAGCCTCTGGGATCAGGGTCAAACATCCCTGCCTAGCTTTGTGAGACTTTACAATGTGAGCCCAACTTATCTTACCAGTTGCACAAGACCTTCCTCTCCCAATGCAGTCCAGCACACATTACCCACGGTGCTCTAGCTGTGGCTTCGGTGTCTCTGTACTGGTCCTCCCCTTGTGCCTGGACTGTACTACCTCCTGACCTTGGCCACAGAACCCCTCTTTTCCTTAGAGATGGAGTTTAAACATCCCCTTCTGCATCAAGCTTTCCTTGATTCCCCCACCGGCTATCACCCCCCTTTCCCAACTACTGCATTTCACTCCTTGTAATTACTTGGACTTAACCACTTGGACTTAATCACTTGTCATGTATTCTGTCCCTGCTTCTGCACGTATTTTTCATCTCATACCTTAGAATGGAAGGCAGGATTGCTTCTTCTTTGTATTTGTACTCCCTTCACCTAGAACCATGCCTGAGCACACAATGGTGTGGCCAAGCATCTTACGGGAAGAGGGTTCCAGTCCTGCCCTGGATCTTGCTCTGGGTGCTGCCTCTTAGGAAGGATGTACTAGCTGGCGTCCTGAGAGGAAGGACAGGGCAGGAAACCCTGTAAACCCCCCCATGAGAGGACCAATTGAAGGGCCTTGGGCATGTGCAGAGTGAGAGTGGTCTTCAGGCATCTGGAAAGCTGGCATGCAGAAGAGGCCCCAGAAGGCCAAACTAGGAGTAGGGAGTCAACACTGCAGTGAAGCATAATTGGGCCTAATGTAATTAACAATTAGAACCTTACGAAAGTGGAATGAGTGTTCTCAAGAGAGCGGCTCCGTGTCGTTAGAAGCAGGCCTCCTTATTAGGTGTGGCTGGGCCTTGGGACCCTCTGCAAGGGCCTTCCCAATGCGGGATTTAAGTCACTACTAGAAGTAACTAAGATTATCCACAGAGAGTTCAGTGCTCCTATGATGTAGGCACCCCCACAGGCCAGGCCCGACACACCTGGCTTTCACTTGGGAACGTTACTGAGCACTACTGACTCAGAACAAGGGGTCTGTTCAGAAAAGCCAGGTCTGAATCCCAGCTCTACCAGTTTTTACCACAAACGTCTGTGAGGCTCAGTTTCCTTCTCTGTAAAATCTGCTCCTCTTCACATGGCAGAGCAGCCACTAGCATCGGAGCCTGGAGCTTGAAGCACTGCTCCTTAGGGGTGACAGCCACCTCCCACCCTTCCCTTCAGCTTCCTCACATGTATAACGGAGGTAACAGTCTTGCTCTCCATCCACAGGTGCACAGAAAGTGCTCTGTGTTCACTGTTACTGTGGTCTGGAGCAGGCTTCCTCAGTGTGACCCTGTGGGGCCAGCTTCACCCTCAGTTCACTTATGGTAATAACCAGGATGGCTGCTTGGATGTGGCATTCTACAAAGCACCCATTGGAGGAGTGCCAGTACCATCCCCAGATAAAGAGGGAAACTGAGGCTTTCTGGGCTGCTTCCTGTTTTCCTGCTCAATCATCCAGCAAAAAGATGGTCCCAATTTCAGAAAAGAGGCCAGACTCAACATGTATTGAATTATTTTCTCAATGTGGCATTTCAAAGAACAATTAATAGGCCTTGGCACAAAAAAAGGAATTACCCCCAAAAGCCCATATAAAGGATAAATGAGTGGACTTTATTTATCGGCAAGCTCTGTTGAGTGGGGTGTGGATAAATATACCCTGACCTAACTTAATGAGGAAGTAAAGCAACGTATTGATCTGTATGAACTATCTGCTGTCCTGCCCCACGGGACGCTTACTAATGCGGCTTCAACCGCTACTCTCCCAGAGAAACACATTGGTCCTGGAGAAGAACACCATGGGACCAGGATCTAGGGTCGCAAAGCCTGGATTCAAATCCTGGCCTGGCCACTGCATTCTGTGACCTCAGAGGGGTCTGCTTCCTCAGTCCACCCACAGGGGCAGCCCATCACAGTTCTCAATCCTATGTTACTACCAATACACAGGCCAATACCGCTGAGTCCAAGCACCAGGGCCCCACCCAGCCTCTTGCCCCAAAGGCTGCTCCCCTTGGCAGCTCTCGAGGTGAACGGATTCGAGGAGCCCTGGGAAAGGCTTGCATGCTGATGGCTCTGGGGCCCCTCAGACGGTGCTCATTCGGGAACAAAACCACTCAGTGAAACAGGTTTGAGGGCACTGAGCCTTCTGCTGCTTATGATGGACACTTTTCAAAAAAGCAAATTTGGAAGTTCTGGGTCCCTTTTTTTATTTTGGTGGGGAGTGAGATGAGCACGATGAAGCTCACAGACGTCTGGTCTGATCTACACTGGCTAGCAGACTCTACGTGAGAGCTGGTTAAAACTGAATAGCAGCAGCGCTGGCTGTTGGGGGGAGCAAGAAGGCAGGCCGGGGTACATGGAGGGCTGGGCCATCCCCACCCCAACCCTGTCCATACCCGCTTTATTATATCTATGTCATAAGAGCAGAAAATTCAGAGGGAAATGCTTAGGTGTCCTAACCACAAACAACGCTGTCCCCACAAATGAAAATACATCTATGCTTCTTAATCTGGAAACCAGAGAAAGACCCGCAGCATGAGTCCGATTCTTGATGAAGGATTGAAAGAAAGATGTGAGCAAGGACTGTGAAGGATGAAAAGGTACAGAGGGGGGTATGATCTGCATTTGTGGATGGAATGCTGCACCAAAAGAACACATTCTCCCTGAAATACTCAAGTGCTAAGCCTCCTCTTGCATTTGCTGAAGAGAGATCTGGTCTGACTGAGATGTCACACTCTGTTATAGTCAATATCGCTATCTTTTAGACAGGAAAACAACTGCAAGAATTCACACGGGAAAAAAATCAGCTACACTCATGCCTCAGTCCTCCCACCGGGCCCCAATCCCTTCTTCTCTTCTCTTTTTTTCCCTTCACCTCTAGGCAGCAGAGCTGGTTGGTTTTTCTTTTCTCCCAACCATACTGGGAGGATTGACAGAATGCTGCATCTCAGAGGATGAGGACAGCAATCAGGCAACAACTATCCCCATTAAATGGAAGGCGGCCAGACAGAGATGAACATTTTTGTGAAAACCGGAGGCGCTATCTCAAAGAGCTCGTCTAACTACCAGCGTGGGGAAGAACAGCCTCCCCATTTGTTACTCTGCTCCTGTTTCTTCCTCATGGCCAATAACATGTTACTTATGGTTAACCTCTTATGTGGTTGCCTGTTCTCCAATGAACCTGCTTTGCCTTCCCCAGGATGCAGCAGGGCAGGATAGAGCCACATTAGCTAGAGGTAGGGCCTTCCACCTTTGCTCAGGCATTCAAGATCTTTCTAATAATATGCTACACTGGGAGTGCGGTTCTAAAGAACGATGTTGGTCATAGCATGTAACTTCACACTCGTAAACAACTGCTGAGAAAACCTACAAGATTCATACCAATCATGGCATTTAGGCTCCCCCATTCTGGCAGTCAGCTTTGCATTCTACCCTGAAGAAAGCAGATGGTTCTAATCCAAACAGATTACCTGAGAATCTTCTTGGGAATATGAGACGGAGAAGAATGATTCCTTTTTTTCTTTTCTGCATCTTGTAGGAACTTTTCTTCTATTTCACTTTTATCCGAGATCACTACTCGCTCCACCCCTGGCTTGTCTGAGTCGACGTTCAGCTCTGTCTGGGCAGAGTCACACCTGTACATGAAAACAATCGATGGCTTCTCACTGGGATCGGTTCTGGACTCGGTGAACCAGTGATGACGCTGAACCGGAGGTGGGGGAAGCATGTGGATGACTGTGCCGTCGAGGCCCACCAGCTTGCCCTTCTCTCTCTCTTTCTCTTTGTCTTCCTCCTCGTCAGTCTTCTTACGGCGGAAGAAACTCTTAAACGATATCCAGCGCTTGGGCTTGGCGTCGGCTGCCCGCCTGCCCTCGGAGCTCAGGACGCACTCGGCCTCCGTCGACCTGGTGGGGCTGGTTGGCTTGCTCCAGTGGCTGAAGTGTCTTTGCAAAAGGTTGCTTGCATGGTACGGTGAGGAAGTGGAACGCGGAGGGGGAAAGGGAGGACCCGGTTCGGTCTGGGGACTCGGGGTAGGACTGCCAGCCGTGTATTTGGAGGAGTGACAAGTGGCAGGCTTGGAAGGAGGCTCCTTGTGCGTGGGAGCGCTGGCATTTTCTGTGGCCAGGGCGGCTTCATTCTCGCGGCCGGACTGGGCGGCAGCAAAAAGAGATTTCGGCCTTGTGGGAGGGCTTGCTGGGGTATCGTCCCCTGGAGGGAGGGCATACAGCTCCTCTGTACTGCAGGCTTCAAGGCCCAAGGGAGGGGTTTCTGGGGGAGACTGTGGAGGCTGGATAGAAGCGACGATCTGTGAGAGGACGGTGCTTGCCTTTTCCCGGCTGCTGCTGCCCAGTGCTGGCGACTCCAGAGCACCTTCAATCTTGGCTACAGGTTCCTGGGTGGTTCTTTGGGGTCGTGCTGGGGAGCCATGGGCAGAGCTCTGCCTTCTCTGAGGGGAGGGCTGGCCCCTACCGAGGCAGCTGTTAAACTCCTGGACCTTCTGGGCCACAGAGCCCTTCCTGTGCTCTGTGCTGTTAGACCGCCCCTGACCTAGACAAGCATCAGTAGGTCTGCTGGTAGGACTTTCTGCTACTTTGCACTCTGTTTCTATTTCTTCATAAGTGTGGCTTATTATGCTTGTGGTTTTATCTTTCATTGACAGCTCTCCACTGGTTCCCAGAAAACTTTTATAGATGGCTAAATTGTCATATGCATTAGGATTGATCACAATGGGAACTTTGATAGCATTCTTGGAGCTACGAGCATAAGTTGGCTCATCATGAATGATAATTGGAAAAGGAGGCATGCCAGCATTGTTGTAACTATTGAATTTGATTTCAGACAAATTGGGTGACTTCACCGGGATCGTTTTTGAAGAAACACTTGTGGCCGTGGGTGAAGTTGGGGCTGACTTATGGGAGTTCTTCCGTGGAGGGACAGTTGGCCCTGTGCCACCAGTGACCAGTTCCACTTTAGGCATCTTTTGGCGTGGGCTGGTACTAGATGTCCAGACTTCCTGGTATCGAATAGTACTGGCTTTTCTGAAATGAGCATTTCCCTGTGCTGAAGTGGAAGTGGGAGACATCAGTGGGGAATCTGGAGTGGACAAGGTGCTTTTGGTTTTGGGACTCTCGGTCTGACTGTCCACGTGCTCACTGCTCATGGCTGCCGACACGTCCACGATCGTGTAGGGCTTGCACACCGGCTGCTCCAGATTCACAACTCGGTAAGGCCTGGCTTGTTCTTCCAGAGGCACCAAGTTTATAGTCACTGCTTGCCCAGTCAGATCTGTGGAACTGTTCCCTTCTTGCTTCTCAGTCTGAAGAGCAATCTTGCCATTCTTCTCTTCTAATCGGAGAGCAAGCACTGCCTTGTGGGTCTCTAACGCTTGGGTTGGGCTTTTTGGAGCACTGGTACTGTCCTTCACTTGCTGATTATCAGAGTTTTCATAATCTGGTTCAACTGACTGGGTCTCCTTAACATCCTTAGGGCTACCAGGCGACGTCCCTCCATTGCAGAGTTTTTGAGATGAGCTACTGGCTGTCCCTGAGCGAGACTCCTCCGTTAAGGACGACTCGGGGGACGTGGAATCAGAGGAGACCATGCTCTGCGTGCTGTCCTGCCCATAAGGGATTACAGAATCTTCCCCATAACCATTTAAGATTTCATCGTAGCTATCATCATAGTCTACCGCACAGATCCTCTGGAGAGATTTATTTCTCATGGGGACAGTGTTCCATTTTTTGCCCACAAAGAATCGAACAGGAGAGAGGGTGTTCGCCCTGAAGTTAGCAAAGCGGGGCTGCCCTCTCATACGGATTTCCATGGCCAACAACTCTTCATCACTTTCATCCCAGCTCTCATGGTCCTCGTGCATACTGCTAAAAAATGCATCGTCCTCACTCTCATCTTCACTAGAAAACTCTGGGTAACAAAACCGACCACCTTCATTACTGATCACTTCTGTGCTACCACTCAGAATCACATGCTTACTCTGAGAGTCCTTCATCGCTCCCACCATGCAGCTGGGAGGAAGCTTCCTTTCCAGTGACCGCTTGTAGCAGTTACTGATTCTTCCCAGGAAGGTTTCCCTCGAGTTCGCTGCGCTTCCCATGTGCTGAGGAGCGGGATCCAAGCCCACGATCTCCTTTAGCACTTCAGTCAGTCCGTTATTGTTACCGGCTATCTTACTCCCATTGTTGTTGGGGCCCAAAGGCCTGTGAACGTGGCTGAGTCCTTCAGTCTCTTCTTCATTGTTATTATTATTCAGTGGTTTTCTGCTCAGGGAAGCCCGGTTTCGGGCCCAGCTGATGATCACTGGCTTGTTCTCACAGTGCTCCGGGGTGCCGGCCTCGGCGCTCACGCTCTGCCCGCCGGCCACCATCATGGTGGGTTTCACGGCGATGGTGGGCTTTTTGGCCACAGGGGGCCGGAAGTTCCCCGTGTTCCTGATGCGGTGATTGTTGCTGTGGTTGGCGTTGGTCCTGGTGGCGCTGTGGGGGAGGGGGGCCGCCTCCACGGCCGGGGGCAGCTGGTGCAGGCTCTTGGGCTTGAAGCAGTTCTTGCACTCACCAGGCTTCCAGACGTGCTCAGTGAAGGTGTTGCAAGCAGACATTTTCCACGGAGCTTCACGCTTGCTGCTCCACTTTCAGTGCATGGCAAGGTCTTCATCCGCTAGTTCTCACTCTCCCTGTGGATCATAGCAGCTCTTCGAAGTAGTTGTCAGTCTGGGGGGAGAAGGGAAAGGAAAGGAAAGAAGGATTAGAATGGCAAAGACAGAAGGTGGCTTATTGCGATACGTGCCCCAACTATTGAACTTTGAACATTTTTTTGATGGGATTAAAAAGAGAGAGAGATGGCCTCTGTTTGAGATTCCGGTCATTTCCTCCCTGTCACACAAGGGAGAGCATCTCTGAAGAGCAGAGCATCCCATAATTCTGCGTATTTTCTCGCTGTACCACTTCCCTCATACACTGCCTTGACATCGAATTTTCCAACAGATACTGGGTAACACTTGCTCCTTCTGTCGCTGGCGTACACAGCTTCCACAGGCTCCTCCCAACCCCCACCCCTGGCCTTTACATATCACACAAGTGGGCAGATTGGTGTCGAGCTAATGTAAGGGCTGGGAAGCTGATACCGCTGCCATAAAAGTGCAATGCCAGGCCCCAGGTTCAGAAATACTGCCGACTGCTGCTTTAGGGAAGGGACCGAAGGGCAGCTGTTTAGCAAAGCTCCCCGTCGGTGCAAACCAGGAAAAGTGGATCTTATTTAGCCAAAGCTTAGACAGTAAAGTACCTGTAAATAGCACTTGTAAGGCCCTTTCCCTTTATGAATGTTCAGATTGGAAGGTGAATGAGCTTTAATAAGCAAAACCCCAGTGGCATGGCTAAAGTCTCATCAATTTATTCTTGGCTTGGTGTCAGGGAGTTAACACAGAAAAAAAAATCATCACTCTGCAGCAGATACAAATCACTCATCACTTGGTGCTAAGTTAATCAGACAATTGGCAAATGCTCATTAGGCATCTACTGTACATCTAGCACTGTGTGAAGTGGAATGATGCAGAAAAGCAGGAGCAGATAATATCACTTCCCCTCAAGAGCTTATTATAAAAATATATGTGCTGTGTTATAACAATTCCCATTTATTTACACAGTACTTTCAATTAATCAGTCAACATTTAAAAAAAAATTTTTTTTAAGGCAATTGGGGTTAAGCGACTTGCCTAGGGTCACACAGCTAGTAAGTGTCAAGTGTTTGGTCTGAGGCTGGATTTGAACTCAGGTCCTCCTGACTTCAGGGCCAGTGCTCTATCTACTGTGCCACTTAGCTGCCCCCTAATCAGTCAACATTTATTAAGCACCTACTATATGCCAGGCAGTGTCCTAAGTGCTGGAGATACAAAAAGAGGCAAAAGTTCCTACCTTCAAGGAGCTTACAGTCTAATGGGGGAGATACTAAGCAAATATGTACTACATATATATGTATATGATAAATAGGAAATAATTAACAGAGGTGAGTTGCGAGGAGGCTTTCTGCAAAAGACAGGTTACAAAGTGTTTTTCTCACTTCCCTTGAGATTGCCTCATGGACACAATAGCGCCGGAGCCAGTGCGTGGACGAGGGGCTTCCTGACTCCAACCTAGCACTGTTCTCCCTATACCAAGTTTCGTTAACCAAACCTAAACCGATCTCTGATTGTTGGTGAGTACCTAAGAAACATGAAAGCTTAAAAAAGCAAAGAAAAGCAAAACCAAACCAAACCACCTTCTTTCCACGCTTGGCTGGCAAAAGTGTGCCAAAGACCAAAGTGCATAAATAAATTAGTTCAGTCAAAAAAAGGGCTGTCAGGTTGATTAGCAGTTATCACGCTATTGACAGGATTGCCAACCGGGATTCACTAGAAACACAACTAGCTCTTGTCAGCGCGGCTGCAAAAGAAATTCATCAATACAATTGAACACTGGTCTCTGATAATATGCTCAAGTCCAAGTGTGCTGCTGGAGGGAGGGGCTCCTCACTGCCATCCCAAGGCAAAGGAGGTGTGCTGAGCAGCCACCTTCTCGGACCACCAGGTGGAGCTGCAGCCTAAGCCTAGAAGTGCTGCAGGTCCCAGACTGGAGAGTGAACAGGCCAGGGTGTCTCCTTCCAGAGGCTAATCACATTTGGAGACTGTGTCAAAACTCTTGCAGAGTCCCCAAGATAAAAAGGCCCTGCCAGGTACAGACCTGCCCAAATATCACACCTTTGGTCCTAGAGACCTCTGCAAAAGGATTTTGCTGCATTTTGACTCAAGCCTTTGAAGCCTTCCCAGCTGGAGCTAGATGCCCCAGAAGGAGCAGGGGTGCCTCTTGCCAAAGTAAAAGCAGACAAAAGAGACGTCCCACAGGCATCCCTGTGATGGGTTCCCATCAGCTCACCCACATGAGTCGGAGGGGTTTTAGAAGAAAAGCTCACCGATCTCCGAAGACATCCCCTCACCTCTCAAAGCAAACGTTGACAATGAGCACTTAAGGCATGCAAGTGTCTGAAGCCTTCTCTATAAACTGGAAAAAGCCTCAGCCTTTGAAATGCTCTCTGCACTATGATAATTTTCAGGACCTAAGACCCGCCAGGCAAACATTTTCTACTAATAAGACTGCTGAGGAAACTCTTCAAGAAGGCAGATTCCTTCAGACCTTTTATGATCTGCTATCGGTTTTATGTTTCTCTGCTGCTACAGAGATGCTGATGATCTGATCATTCATGTTCTCCCATCCCACTGCTTCATCCAGATCAGAAACAAATAACCCTGAACCAGCCTTCAGTCTAAGTCTTGGCAGTAAACGGGCTGGTAAAAATGGCTGGAGCCCCGAGGTCCCAAGGCAGCTCAGGGAGCTGGTGGTCTATTAAATACCATACGGAGGATTTCCCTCAAACGCACCCAAGGAGAATCTGCTAATAATAGACGAGGATGGGGAACTGGGCTGCCAAGCTTCTTCTCAAATAGCACTGCTACCTGAGGCCGTTATCTCCACCTATAAAAGCCATCACTTCACAAAGGAGGAGGTGGCAGAGGGGAGAAGTGAGCCAATAAGCTTTCCATCCTTCTTGCTGTACACAGGCCTTTAATGAGACTTCCAATGAGCAACAAAAACCACATGTTTTACCCAGATGTCCTTCTCTATCTCCAGGTCTCTCAGAAGAAATTTACAAGCTGAAGGCCTCACGAACATTTTGTAATGGAATACACTAGTTGCTTACTCAAAATGGGAAGGAAAAAGTGACAACCAGTCTCACGTCAGCACTCTGGCCTTTTCTTTCTGCCATAGTCAGAAATGCTGACCTAACACCCCACCCAGCTGCCAATATGACTAAAAGGGTGGAGGGGAGGAAGTGAAAACAAAGTTAGAAGGAAGAAGTTCATGGGAGACAAAATCCACCTTTAACAAGGAGAACACAAAAGAGTATCCCCCAGATGACAAACACTTTCCCCTCATAGCGATGGGACAGACTCCATCTTCGTGAGTTCTAGATCTGGCACAAGCTGGTTCTTTGCTAAGGACAACATTCCTGGGAAGAAGGTAGTGTGGGTATTAGAGTGATGAAACTGAAGCTCTGAGATGTGCTGACTTGTCCTGTTATACAGCCAGGAAGTGTCGGTGCTGCTATGAGAACCCAAGGCTCATAAATCCCTGTCTGGTGTGCTAGATACCAGGAGGATAATGAAAACAGGAAGGGACCAAAAAGGGGGCCAAAACAGGGATCAAAGATGACTTATGGAAGAGAGGAAACTATTCTTGCTGCTTCACCCTCCCCCTACTCTACCCATTCAGATGAGAGGGGGGAAAGGGAAGAGAAGAGAAGACAAGGGGGAAAGAAAAAAAGGAGTAAGAAAGCAGACCCTGTTATCTGCCGATGGACTAACCATCAGCAAAGCTTGCTGTGACGTTTTCAATCAAGTTGATGAAGAAGAGTGGGCCAGAAAGTCATCTGTTAACACTACTATTTCCCTTGTTTTTAATTCTCCATGGCTCACCGTAAGGGTTTTCTAATCCAAGAGTTTACGTATCTCCCTAACTCAGTAAAAGCATGAAAAGTAAATATAGTGAAACTTTACTAATTAGGAACTAACTGGGGGAGTTAAGTGAATTTGTGAAATGTCCAAGAGAAGCAGTGTCCATGCTTTCAACAGGCACCTAGCACATGTTCATTGACTTGAATTGAGTTACACTCAGGTAGCCCCAGTATCATGAGTCAGGCTTGGGAAGTGACTGGGAATGCCCCAAAGGAGGCTTGTAGCACTGTTCAATTTTAAGTCAGCTAAATACTGCTACTGCTCAGCTTCCTTCCCCATCTCAGTGTCGGTGATTAATTTAGGTAGCAAGTACCTCTGTATAAATCCAAACAATTCAGTCTAGTCAGGGTGAAAGGGAATACCGAATACAATCAGAATGAACAGGTTTGCTGTAGGAAAAAACAACTAACAGAAAACTGAGAAAGTTGCTTTGTACCAGTCTGTGGGACTAGGCTGTGCTTTCTTAGCCCAGAACAAGAAGCTGGGAAGGTTCTGTGGAGGAAAGAATGAGAAGCAGTCCACTGCCTCGGAAAACTGTCCTTCACTGAGTGGATTTTCATATTCTAGTATGAATTCCTAGCACTTCGGTTAAACTCCTACTTTGGGGGGAAGGGAGATGCAGGGGTAGGAACCAGGTCTATGATTTTATCTGTGCAGAGAAATTGCCAGGCACTCCCCTAGGTGCACATCTAGCACTTGCTCAGCAGTGGATAATCTCACAGAGTTGCCAGGTATGTTGAGAGGTTAAGGGACTTAACCAGTCACACAGCCAGAATGGGTCAAAGGTGGGATTGGACCCACATCTTTCTGACTCTGAGGTTAGCTACCTAGTATTCCACAGCTGCCTTTTCATACCACCATACACTAGTGAAAATTCCAATCCAATTCCTTAAAAACCTCCTCCACTGATCCCTCTATCTCAGCTAGCTCTCATCCCACATCCCTCCTCCTAGAGAAGGTCATCTACAACGGCGCCTCCACCTCCTTTCCTCCTGCTTTCTTCTTAGTTCTCTGCAGTCTTCCAACCTCAAGTAAAACTGCTCTCTCCAAAGCCATCGGCTCTCTTAGTTGCCAAATCGAATGGCCTTTTCTAAATCTGTATCCTTCTTGGCCTCTTTGTAGCCCTTGCCATGATCAACTAGCCCTTTCTCTTTGATCCTCTCTTCT